TTATTTCTTATCGTTGATTTTTGTATATATGTAGAAAATAGAAATCTTGAATGTGATGAACAAAAAATGTTTTATTATATTGAATAAATGAATAAAAGATGAAATAAAATAATTGTTATAATTAGATGTGCTGAAGATGATGATAATTCTAATTCTTTTTCACAGAAATTACGACCAATAGATAGTTGGATTTCATTTCCAGTTAAATTCGCTCCAAAATTTTGAAGTGAACAAAATCGAGACCATCTTTTTACAACAGTAAATGTACTATTACCACGACTAAAAAGTTCTTTATCAAAATAAAGAAAACATGTGAAAAGAACGTTACCATTCTGTATAACCTGGTCGTTATAATTGTCGATGACTAATAATATAATAAGCTTTCGTTACATGACCTCGTTCAATACCACAATCAATCCATAAACGTGTTGCTTCTAATGCTTTTTCACTTGGAAATGATGTTTTGAAATCACCGATGATACAAATACTTTGAAAAGAAAAGATCAATATTAGAAATAGAAAAATATATAGAGTTGGTGAGTCATCGTCGAAAACTGCCTGTAACAAGAATAGAGAATTTTTTTCATTCAGGTCATAGGTCATTTTCGATGATGATACATCTAACAAGATAGTCGAAATTGAAAAAAACTTTCTTTCGGAATATCAACACCAAATACTCTTTTTTGCACAAAGTAGTAGAAATCCAACGGATTTATCCAAATAATAGATAAAAATAAGTACCATATGCATCATTATTCCATCCTGATGAATGAGCAGCTTGACAATTCCATCCTTTTCCTTCATAAACTTTTCCATTTTCACCAACTAGAAAATGATAACCAATATCTACCCATCCTTGACCATTTTGATGTAAATCTTGAATAGCTTGCACTCGTTGAATACATTCATCATCAGCATAACAACTATCAATAATGATATTAGTTAAATAATTTTACTCAGAAAATATTTACTTTGGAGGTTGATAAGTATGATGAATAACATAAAATGAAAGAGGTTTTCCCAAGGGGGAAAAAACTATTCGGGCATTCGGATCCATTCCATCCATTCCCATCGATTCTCATCCATTCCCATCCATTCTCATCCATTCCCATCCATTCCCATCCATTCCCATCCATTCTCATCCATTCCCATCCATTCCCATCCATTCCCATCCATTCTCATCCATTCTCATCCATTCCCATCCATTCCCATCCATTCCCATCCATTCTCTTCCATTCCCACTCATTCCTTGATTCTCAAATATATTTCTGGCTTTCTTAAATTGTCGAAATTGTATGATAAGAATGCATTTTTTTCCTTAGATTGTCTATCTTCTACTGACCAAAGTCAAAATATTTTATGTTATATTGATGACTATTTCACAACAGATTGCATTTAATACTATGAGAATAAGTCTTTAAATTCAGCAATGTTCTAAACAATTGTATATACTGCAGAAATTAATATAAGAGAGAGAAGAACTCACCCTAACATTTCTGATCACTTTCAGCTAATTCAAGTGACTATCATTTCTTCATATCTAATCAATTACATTTTTATCATGTGTAAGTTATCTTACACGGTAGTATGGCCATGTATTTTGTATTTAGATAATCGTTCGAAAAATGCTGTTAAAATCAAATCATACAGATACAGTGCATCAGATAAACTTTTCCATTTACCTTTTAGTATATTGAAATAAGAATATGCTGTACTAAGAAATAGTGATTGTTAATAATTAAACTCGTCAACGATAAACTATTTCAAACTTTTTTCGTATTATTACTAGTAAAATAAAAAACTTTAGATCCTTTTAAATAATGTATATTAATCATCGCAATTCGTAGTGGTTCTTGTTTAGTAATATTTATATATTCAAAATGAAATAGAAGATTTATTGAATTAACATATAATATTCAGTTTGTAATGGCATTGTAACTTTTTACATTCAAGTGTAAGTAATATTTTGAATTCAAATAAATAAAATATCGATGAATACGTTCAGAAACTTTTTAAATATTTCTAATAAAATATTATCAAAAAAAGTCTGTCTTCTATTTCGAAAAAGATTATGTTAAATGTCACAAAACAGAAGCATTTGATTGAATATAAAAAAATGCATTTTTTTACTTATGACAAATAGCCAACGAAATTGAACAAAAAAAAGATAATTATTAATTTTTTTGTTTATTCGTTTGTTGAACACGTACTCGTCTATCAGATGATAAATGATTTTTTTTGTTAAATACCAAGCTGCTGTTTGCTTATGTATGAATTTGTCGATTCCATTAATATTTATTTTGAAAAATTTATTTTTATCTTGATCAGAAATAGCAGAATATATTCGTATGCCATTGTAATTATCTTTTTTCGAAGTTGTACAGGCATTTTCTGCATCTATACATTCTTCTTCATTATCGACATGATTATCTACTAGATCCATGAGGTGCCTAATTCGAGTTCGAATATAAATGGAGCTACAACTGCTCGATATCACTTCGAAAATAAAAAAAAAGGCTTCCATGTTATTACGGCAGAAAAAGAAAAAGATAAATTTTTATTCGAATTCGAATTTATAATTCGAACAAGCCACCCATATAATTCTGGCAAACGAAAAAAAAAAAATTTATTCGAATTCGAATTTATAATTCGAACGAGTCACCCATATAATTCTGGCGAAAGAAGAAAAAAAAATTTTATTCGAATTCTAATTTATAATTCGAACGAAGCACCCATATAATTCCGGCAATAAAAGAAAAAGATAAATTCTTTTTCGAATTCTAATTTGTAATTTGGATGAAGTACCCATATAACTACGGCAGAAAAAGCAAAAGATAAAATTTTATATAAATTATGATTTATAAATGCGAAGGTATACGCGTGTGGAAATAGCAAAGAAGCGCACAATAGCAGTTTTTCTAAGTTATAATACTTAATCTCATGCATACTATTCTCACCTGAGATCCTGGAAACACCAAATGAGGCGCTGGAAACATCATCTGGAGTCCTGGGCGCATCATGTCAGATGCTAGAATGATCATCTGGGTGCTAGAAGCATCATCTGTCGTGCTCAACACATCATCTGAAACCCCGAAGCCATCATCTGAGATGTTAGGAGCACCAGGTGTGATACTAGAAGAATCGTCCGGGACGCTAGAAGAATCCTTTGGGTTGCAACAAGCATCATCTGAGAAGCTAGAGGCATCATCTGCGATGCCTGAAGCATCATGTAAAAGGCTAGAAGCATCATGTGCATTGATAGAAGCATTATCTCGAATTATGGATGCATCATCTGGGATGCCAGAAGATTCATCGGGAATATAGCACACATCGTCTCAAAACCCCAGACGAACCCCCTGAGATGCAAGGAGCATCATCGGAGACCCTAGAAACATTATCTGGGATGGTAGAGGCATCCTCCGGGATGCTAGAAGTATCATCTGGAATGCCATATATGTAAAACTTGAAACTTGAATTCAATTGAGTTTTCAAGTTTCGAGTTTCAAGCTTCAAGTTTTATGCTTCAAGGTTGAACTTTCAAGTTCCTAGGAGTTGCGAGAGGAAGGATTCACACATATACTCACGCAGACATCATCGCACCTGCTGTGGGTGCCGCGAAAGGTGATCTGGCAGGAAGGACTCACATAAACCATGCACACATCATAGCAGCTGCTGTGGGTGCCGGGAAAGGAGTTCCAAGAGGAAGGACTCACACAGAAACTCACGCACACATCAGCGCAGCTGTTGTGGGTGCCGCGAAAGGTATTCCAAGAAGAAGAACTCACACATAAACTCACGCACACATCATTGCAGCTGCTGTGGGTGCCATGAATAAAAATTTCTTTTTTGCCAGAATTATATGGGCGGCTGGTTCGAATTATAAATTCGACTTCGAAAAGAAAAATTTTTCTTTTTCTTCAGCTAATAAAAAGGGGGTGTGCGTCGAAATTTTCATTTATATTCGAACTCAAATTAGGCAGCTACTCCAATAATGACATCTTAGAAGTTTCGATATGTTACATGATCGACGTTTTTTTATTTCGTTTTTTTTGTTCGACGTTTTTGCCTTCGACATTTTTTCTTTCGGCGTGTTCATAGTAAATCTTTTTTACTATCTGCCTGTACACATTATGATGTAACGAAAAAAAAGCATAATATCTCATTATTATATGGGTAAATACTTATGATGATATTTGTAGAATATCACACATGTTCGAATATTTCTAGAGTAAATAATGCTATTTAATAAGTTAAAAAGATTTATTATGTATACAAAATGTTTGGACATATTTAGTACGTTACATGCTCTTAACATTTCAATAGTTAATATAGCTAATTTTGTACTACATGAAATTACTTCTGAATTTCTCTGATTATTTCGATCCATTCCCATCCATTCTCATCCATTCCCATCCATTCCCATCCATTCCC